GACAGTTCTGGCGGCCAATCTTAATTTGTTTAGCTAAAAGCATTTGCCGGAAAAACCGGTGCCGGTAGCAAAAAAAACTGCGGGGAATCATGCAAACAACGCATCTTCGCACGGGCAGCCCGTGCGTTGGCTAATTATTTATTTTGGTGATAACGCTTTGCTAGAAGCAACCATCCATTAGCAAAGCCCTCTTCCACGATTTTTATTAGAAGTTTGTGGATGGCGATTTTGATCCTCTCTTGCTATAGAGGGAGTAGCTGGTTTATCGGCGGAATTGAACTCTCGACCTTCCGCATGAAATGGTATGCCATGCCATCCATTAATGGTAGCATTGGTCTTTGCTATTTTATTTTTACATAAATTTGAAACTTATGTAGAATTCATTTATACTTTGTTTATAAATTGCTTCGCTTTTCGTTGGAGCCGTGTCCGATTTTAGCTTAACATTGCCCGGTCACCAATCAATATCTTTTGTTTTTCATCATCGTCGCATGCCAGCACAGCTACAATGTGAAACTTAAAAAGGATTAAATTTATTTTGTTGGAGGTTTTGCAGGAAATCACCGCAGGTGAATCACACGGCAGTTGTACACTGTCCATCGCCGATGGCGCAGTCGTCCGTGCTCCTGGCCGCCCAGACACACTCATGCTCCTCCTCGGGTGAATTCCGTCCAAAGTTTGATTTCAACAGCTTACTGGAGAATAAACAAGCCAACGGTATTAGCAGTGAGGTGAGTGGGTGTTCCTGAATTTCAATACGATTTCATGGCAGCGCAAGTGCAGTCTGCGCCAAACTCCAGAGCCCTCCACTGAAGTCAGTGCGTGGAGCATTCGATTTTATTGAGGTGCAAACAGAATGTTCCTCCGAACCGTCCCGTGCGGTTGAGGCGTCGTGGCTTCGTTTGCGACAGATGCTCAAGAAGTGAGCTGAAGCCGGTTCTGGCTCCCTGGTTCGCGCTTATTCCATTATGTCATCGGAGAGAACCAATGAAAATTTCGCTCTTGAGCATCAGCGACTAGTTCAAGCCACTGCTTTTAAGCTTGAATCGGGATGTCACTACATAATGCTCGCCCTTATTGTGTGTATAATGTACTAGGAATATATACATGCATATATGCGCGCGTACTTCTGATTCATTTGTGCATAAATGTGTAGTGCTACTGGTTACAAAAATTGAAATCATTATTTCATTGGTCATCTGAGTGCAGAAATAGATTCAACTGATCACTTGAGACTTCCCCAGCTGTCGTAATTTAGCGATTCAGTAAAATTCTGTATCTACAATAATCGTTTTCATTGCAGCGAACTGAAGGAGGCTCCGAATCGCCCACGCCGAACGATGACGCCAGTGTGCATAGTACGAGCGATTGTGGCTTCGATCACGTCTCCGCCAACAAACAGGTGCATTCCTATTGCTTAAATCGCCAATTCGTTTAGGTCCTTCCTCTGTTATGTCTCCTGCTTGTCCTTAAGCTTAATTGTTGTTCAGTCACGAAAAGATGAAATTTTGAAGGCGCGACGAATTGCCAACAGCGGTATTTAGAACAAGCTATTTTTTTTGACAAAATTTCTGTACAGACAAGTATGTGTTTAGGAATCAGTGACATCGTCTCCTGAAATATCATTCGATTTGAATGGCGGTCATGCGTCAACGTCTCCGAAGCCCACCGAAACATCATCGTCATCCGCTGGACATCAGCAATCGACAAGTAACGGGAACGGTACGGCTGGCGGTCAGCCATCTCAAGCACAAACACAGTCTAGTGCGGTGGCCAGGTCGAGATTGATGTTCGATCCGCTCACCGAGTTGCCCGTTCTGGAGAAATGGTTCGAGGAAAATCCGCACCCCACTTGGATACAAGTACAGTTCTCTAAATAAATTGCTCAAGTACATATACATTGTTGAATTAACTGATGCGTTTCAACGACTATCTGGCTCCCGACAAGAAGACGCAGATGCATCCTGAAGTTAATGGCTTTCGAATCATTGGTCCGTCTTTGTCTCTGAGAGGAGAAACATTAGCTTGTGCTATTGAGCCATTGACTCTTCAGCTTCTCCAGCCGAACTTGCGTCACGGTTTTAGTGTTTTTGTGGCTCACACAAGCATTTTAGTCTAAGTGTTCTTGGGCAGAAAGATTCTCTCCACATCTGGGTTCGCGATTCGCATCTCGATTCGATACATTTCGGTAGTGAAATGGTGCTAGTAGCTTGTTCATACAAGCGTCATCTGCAAACATCAGCTGTCTTGTGGTTGTTATGGCAAAATACTGTTGCAAGAGGACGGAATGCTGAGGAGAGTTTCGGCTGTTGTCTTCCTCATCCTCTCATATTTTTACTGACGTCCGATTTATTTTTGTCAATTCTCACTTTTTCGGTTTCATCTGATTTATTCAGATCGATCAGTACACGGAGGCGCTGAACAATTGCCAATACCGGCAGAGTTATCCGCCAATTTCAACACATAACGTAAAAATATGGTTTAAAAATCGACGGGCCAAATGCAAGCGTATGCAGACTGGTAGCGATTTGAACTTAAAAATGATGCAGCTCTGAGGTGCATGCCAACGACAGGGCGTCTTTTTCAAATATTATTCGCCCAGTAAGATTTCTCTGCTTATAAGCAGTCTGATCACTTGATGCACACATTTATCTATCCAGCAAACAGTCTGAACGTCGTGCCCCTTAAAGTATTTACGAGTTGCCGAATTACCTACTAGAAAGGCTTTATTTGTTTAACAAAAACGTTTTCTCTCGACGGGGCAGTTTCACCCTGTGCTTTATTTTCAGTGTAGTTTACTGCTTGTAGATGAGCAGATATATGCGAGGATGGATGCCCTGTGGTTGTATCTTATAATGCCTTGAAATTTCATGGAAATTTTAAAAATTAATTTTTGATGCCTTAAGGACTTCCCGTTTTTTTTTTTTTTGTTTTGCTTGTGCCTTCGTAAAAAATGTAACTAGAATTTCTAAAATGCGCAGTAGTCCGGTTACTTTTTAAATTTCAGCCTCTGAAAGCTTGTCTACACCTGTTGTTGCCCAAATTATGTGCCACTATTGAGAGATTTGTGATTTTTCGGCAAAGTTTTCTTGACAAATAAAACATGATTATTGAACAGATTGAGTTGATTTACAACTTTTCGTTAAAGTTTGCCAATCTTTTCATCTTTTCCCACTTTCAGTAAAAATTCCAAGAATTTTTCGTTACATGAATCAAAAGACGAGGGAAAGGGGGAGGGAATAAGCCAGGAGGAGAAGGAGCTGGACACGAGGGAAGTGCTTGTCCATTTATTCTGCCGGTATTGTTATTTGAACACGACAGTTTTTTTTTAACCTTTCCTTTTAAATTAGTAAAAAATTAGCTTTTATATTAGAGGAAAAGATTCGAAATTTGCTTGGGTTTTGCAGTTCGAAAATTCATGTTCCTTCATTTTCTTATTTTTTCTAATAATCCAGTACGATATTAGTTTGATATAACTTTTGACTGGTACTATAAATGCCCACATATCATATCGGTAGCCTACCCGAAAGGAGGGATTTTGCCAGTTTTAAACCTCCAGCTGGGTAAACATTTAGGTAGGTGAGGGATCGAAATTGTCTCCCAGAAGCCTAACTCAGAAAGCTGACTTTTCGAATTTGTGCCACTTTCAAACTCCCAGCTGGGTAAACATTTGGATATCTGATTCGGAAGAAACTTCTCAGAGCGATGAACATTGCTGTGTAGCAGCAAGTATCGCGTGCAGACGGAGGGGCCCTTCGAGAAGTCCACTCGTTTATGTATTTTTGTAGTAAGCTGTCAGTGAATGAAATATGTAACTTGTTACAGCAGTTGCTTGACACACTTCCTTGCCTGGGGCCACTGAAATGTCAGATCTGTAGCTTGTTTCATTGACACAAACTCTAGTTTAGCATTTGACAGACTTTAGCATTTGAGTATGAATTGGTAGGAAAGAATCAAGGGGATTTTGAAATCTGAATGATTTCTGTGGATATACTTCTTTCTAAACAAGTCACTGAGCACACTATGAAGGTATAAGTACCAAACGCAAGTGCACCTGGGAATGTGAGAAAAAATACATGTTTTGATAGTTTCCACTGTTCGCCACTTTTAAAATTGGGTATACGATCATGTAACAATTTTTTAAAATGTCGTCTGTCAGCAAATTGGTAAAAGCCGAGAAAAAACTTGTTTCCTCAGAGAATTTCGAGGTCTTAGATAAAAAATGAGCGAGTAAACAGATTTTTTCGTTTTTCATTACGCATGGTTTATTTAGTTTTTAGCGCAAAATCTTTTCTTTGCCGTTAATGAGATTTTTTCTAAAATCGAGAAATTGTGCATGCCGGTTTATGGAACATCCGTTATTATAACTTTTCCATGTTAATGATTTTTTTGAGCCTATGAGTTCCATACATTTTCTGATCTTTTTGCAATGTGTTCCAAAATTTTTATTAAATTTGAAGCATATGGAAAGCA